CTACATTGTCAGACACTATTTTAGGTGTCAGGAAGAGAATGGTAAACAAGAGAAGTGGCTCCCGCCTATCATGGAGCTTGCCCAAACAAGCAATAAACGAGAAGCTATCAGACAGGTGTATGGACTTTGATGACAATAAGAGAGGGTGGTGGGATAGTGAGTATGGGGAGAGGAAGACTCACTTAGATGGGGACAGTCAGGGAAAGTCTCTGCAAGGAGGTGATGGGGACAGTCAGGGAAAGTCTCTGCAAGGAGGAGGTGAGTTTCAGGCTGAAAGCTGGTTGATAAATAGGAACCTAAGCAAAGATGTGGGCAAGGAACATTCTGGGCAGAGGGATCTGTTAGGACCAAGGCTCTAAGGTGTGCACAACCTTGGTGTGATCAAGGAATGGAGGGAACGTGAGAAGGAAGGTGATATCAGAGGAGGCTGTGGGGGAGGGGTTGTTAGACCAAGGGAAGCCCTGTAGGTCTGGTTAAAGATTTGGGTTTTTATCTTTTTTTTTTTTTTGTCTCTCATTCTATAAGGATTTATCATTCCCGAATCACAGCGAAAGAAACTTGGGTCATTTACCAATTTTGTTTTCTATTACGCGCCTTAGAGATACCTCACTAAAAACAGAAATCTGACATAACAGAATAACATTTGCAGAATGTAATATTGTAGTGACGGTACTGAGGTTGATTGTTACAGACATATTAAACTCTTTGAGTATTAAATGGTTACATCCTATTTATACAGAACATTGGTCCAGTAATAAAAATGGAGAACAGCAGCTGGAAATTTATCTCATTCAATGTTCAGAGATAAAAGGGTTAACCATTCATTCCATTATTTTCTGTAAGTCCTTTTTTCATACTGAAATCTGATGGCAGTTAAAATCTGATATTCTTCCAAGCTACTGTATGAAGAGGATGCTGAAGGCCATCGTCACACAGCATACTGCAACGTAAGGACTCTTCCGTGCACCAGTTCTGGCCACTTCCAAAACATACCCAACAATCCAGTTTTATTCCTGTCCAGGAGGCTGGGTGCCAAGGATCAGATATAAGCACAGGTACTTATAAGCAGCAAGATTACAGTCAACAGACTCTGAAAATTGAAAATGGCAGACGTAGTGAGGCCGGCGAAGCCCCAGCCACCAGATTTGGGTTTTTATCTTAAAAGCAATGGGAAGCTGCAGGCTTTTAAGCTGCTACCTTAAGCAGATAGCTGATGTGATTAGATTTAGGATTTTAAATGATTACTTTGGTTTCTATGAGAAGGAATTAGAGCAAAAACAAAATCAGGGACCTCAGTTAGGAGATGAGGGCAGGACTTCAGAAAAGAGGTTGGGGAGCGGCCGTGGGGACAAAGGTCCGACATAGGTTTGAGAGGAACGAGAGAGAGAAAATCGGTGGGGCGTGGTGAGGAAGTGGATTCCGAAGCGATGGAGAGAGGAAGTGTGGAGCACGTGCAATAAGCCAAGGGCCCAGTCATAGGTTAGAAACAAAGGGGAAATACACAAAGTCAGCTACCTCAACTCTCACCAGTAGCTTTTAAATATTCCTACTTGTGGCTGTGTGTGTGTGTGTGTGTGTGTGAGTGAGAGCCACAAAGCAAGACACACATTGCAAGACACATCCATATGTTTAACATATGGATCGTATTTGATTTAGAACAATACTTAGGTAGATAAATGAAGATGGTGTACTCTCATATTATAAAAGGGAGGCAAAATCATTCCCTGCTAATAGGGATGCGGCTTCCTCTCCTGCTTCAGGCCAGGATAGTATTGGCAAGTATGAACTGGCAAGTTGGAGTCCATCTCTGACTAAGGAATCATTCGAGTATTTACTGAACTTTTTAGAACACTGTTTTATGGGGGAACCAGACAAACTGGAGGGGAGTAAGGCAGGGGAAAAACAAAGGAGTACATTAGAAAAGTTGTGAGATTTATGCAGTTATAAATGTCCAGAAATAGTCTCTCATGGGAAGGAGCTCAGAAATCTAGGGCACGGAGGCTGAAATTCAGGCAGTGATATTTAAAAACTGAAGATATTCTAATAAAACAGCTAGTGTGGGGGCACCTGGATGGCTCAGTCGGTTACGTGTCCGACTCTTGATTTCGGCTCAGGTCATGATCTCGGGGTCCTGGGATTGAGCCCCATGTCGAGCTCCCCACTCAGTGCGGAGTCTGCTTGTCTTCCTCTCCCTCTGCTTGCTCGCTGTCTCTATCTCAAATAAATAAATCTTAAAAAAAAAAAAAAAACACCTAGTGTGCTGTCCCTATATAAATTGTACCTTGGGGAAACCAGAGAGTTGGGAAGAGGGAGTTCTCTTTGTAGAAGTATTCCAGTTAATAAATGAAGAAGGAATAAATTATGGAAATAAAACACCACCATTTGGCAAAACCAAATGAAATAAGGGCTTATCGATGGCTGCTAACATCATGAGACAAAATAACACTGTGTACCTCCCGGTAGAAGGACACAAGATCACTATGGAGTATTCTTGCCCTTAAATCTGAATCTGTCATGTTTACAGATCCAAATACCAAAATTAGGAAAGAGGAGCAGGGGCACCTGGCTGGCTCAGTTGGTGGAGCGCGTGGCTCTTGATCTTGGGGTTGTGAGTTTGAGCCCCATGTTGGGTGTAAAGAAATAAAATCTATAAAAAAGCAGGGCCTGCCTGGGTGGCTCAGTCAGATGAGCATCTTCCTTCGGCTTGGGTCATGATCTCAGGGTCCTGGGGTCGGGCTCCCTGCTCAGGGGGGAGTCTGTTTCTCCCTCTCCCTCTGCCCTCTCCCCCCCGCCACCTGCTGCTTGTGCTCTCTCTCTCTCTCTCTCACACACACACACACACACAGTCTCTCTCAAATAAATAAAAAAATCTTAAAAAAAAAAAAAGGTGGGGGAAGCAGAGGATAGAGGAGCACGTTAAAGGACCCCAGAGGATAGAATTGGCCAAACACAGAGCTGGGGGGACACCACAGGACAACCAGCTTTCTTCAACAAATAAGTTACAAGAATAAAACAGAGGAAGAGGGGAGCAGATCAAGACTTGTAAGGAACATACCAACCAATTGATATGGAGACCTTATTTGGATTTTGATTCAAACAAACTAAAAAACAGCGACAAAAGCAAAAAACATAACTAGGGACATGTGAACATTGACTGAAATATTTGATGATACTGTCAATCACTGCTCATTTTTTTTCGGGAGAAATAATAGTATTGCAGCTGTGTTTAATAGGAGAAACACCTTTTAAAACAGTGGTTCTCAAAGTCAGAGCATGCATCACCATCACCTGGAGAGCTTATTAAAACACATATTGCTGAGCCCCACGCCTAGTTTCTGATTCAGCAGCTCTGGGGTGGGTTTCTAGCAAGTTCTCAGGTGACACTAATGCTGCTGGTCTGGGCTCACACCTTGAGAACCGCTGCACCGGATTAACCAGATTTTTTAAATCTAATTACTCTTTCAAAGAAAGAGCTTAGGTTATCAGCTGAGTTCTATCCCCCTGGGTTACAGCACTTGGACAGCATTCCATATAATGAAAGAAAATGAACTCTTGTTCCAAGGCTCACGCGATAATTTAGTCTGTATTGCCACAGGAAGGCTTGAAAGAAGAATACCTTCAGCTCACCTCTTTGCTCTCCAAGTGTGACAAACCTAGCTCCCTCCTTAACCACTTGTGTCTACCCTTCCCCTCCCACTCCCCAGCACAGGATCCTGTAAGGCTCCCTGGAACTTAGGCTACATCCCTCCATCATTTCAAATTCAAATTCAAAACGGGTTGATGCATATAATATGGGGCATCCAGTCCTGCATGCAGTGTCTCAGAGACTCTAGCAGATCTCAGAGCTGGTCCGTTCTCTGCTGTTGTAGAGGAGACCTGCAGCCAAATTTTGGCTCTTCTGTCACCTGTGTACCCACAATGCATTGTTCGGCGATTTGGGGCCTTAGGTTTTCAACAGGTAAAGAAAGAAAGCTGTTATTATGAGAGAAAATGGGACACCTGGAGAAATAATAGCCAGAGTTCCTTGGAGGAAAGACATTTCCAACAATACCAGAACACTGAATTTTAGAGATATTATTACTTTATAATTTAACAAAAAAGTGCTTGTGTGTGTGTGTGCGCGCGCGCATTAGATCCTCACAACAACCTTGTGAGGTAATTAAGGTAGAGGCTGAGAGAAGGTAAAGTCTGGCCAAATTAAATGTCAGGGCCAGCGCTCAAACACCTCCCCTTCTCAATGGAGGCAGTGTTCTTTCCAACACACTGCCTTCCCTCAATTTATTTCCGTTAAATATAGGAATGTACTAGTGCATAAAACGAATGACTCTAAAAAAAAATCAGAGTTGCATTAAACTTAAAACTAAAGGGCCCATGAGCCAGGTGATTAGAAAACAGGAGTTGTTCCCCTCAGCTAAATGCCAGGAAGGATCCCTGTAATATTTAACGTCTCCGCAATTTTGCTTCCATAGTTTTACAGTCCTCTTCCAGCCTCTTCTGGCTTGTTCACCGCCAGATATTTTCTATGCCTCAGATGGCAGCAAACCTCCAGTGGGAGTACCTCATACGCTGGTGTACAAAGAGCTTCTGAAATTCTTTCGGCCTTGAAGTCACAAGACCACAAACATCCTCTATGAGAATTCTGCCTTGTCATGGCAATGAGACATCTGGTGACTAACGTCTGCATAGCACTGGATAGGGAGAGTGTTTTCTGTTTTATTAAATCTTTGTGTTCATACCCCAAATCCTCTAGTTGCAATCGAATTTCTTGCAAGTTCTGGATTTGTGGGGCTGCGCTAATGAATTCTTATTGAATCATAAGGCTAATAAACATATTGAGGGTCGTTTAAGGGCCAGGTGTTACATAGTATTAAGTAAGGGCTTATAAGATCTCAAATATTAATCATTAATAGTGATAATGTGGCCACATGTATCTCACTCCTCTTTTAGTAATCAAGCATCAACCATCAAACTCACATTTCCCTAAGGTCAGTTAAAAACACTGAAGGAATGCCTTTTGTATTCAAAACATTATTTGTGGCCTATGGGTTTATCCTCACCATTAAAGCGTAGGAAAAGGCCCAACTTGAGCCACTGATGCCCATGTTCAGGCTTTCTATATATGGAGCACCTGGAGACAACAGAAATGAAAATCTGGAAAGGGGCAGAAGAAGCACTTCAAACCATTTCCTAGATCAAATGGGTATTTTGATGGCATAAGAGATGTGCTTTCTGACGGAAGCTCTTGTCACATCTACTACAGTGGAAAGGTTTTTCTCCTGTATGTGTTCTCTGGTGTGTGAGAAAATGGGAACGCTGATTGAAGGTTTTGCCACACTCGGGACAGTGATAGGGCCTGTCTCCTAAGTGGATTCGTTGATGAGTAATGAAGTGCGAGCTCTGGTTGAAGCTCTTCCCACACTCGCCACATTTGTAGGGTCTTTCCCCCGTGTGGATCCGTTGGTGTTTTATGAGGGCAGAGCTGTCGGCGAATCCCTTCCCACAGTTGTCACACTTAAACGGCCTCTCACCTGTGTGTGTCCTCTGGTGCGTGACCAGGTGTGAGCTCTGACTGAAACTTTTGTGGCAGTAAGGACAGCTGAAAGGCCTTTCTCCTGAGTGAGTACTCATGTGCGCTACAAAGTGAGAACTATCTCTAAAGCCCTTCCCACACTCTGGGCACTTAAAGGGCCGTTCTCCGGTGTGGGTTCGTTGGTGTTTAACCAAGTCTGAGCTCTGGCTAAAACTTTCCCCACAGTCACTACACCTGTAAGGCTTCACTCCCGTGTGGGTCCTCTGATGGGTAATGAAGTTTGAGCTTCGACTAAAGCTTTTATGGCATTCGAGACATGTGTAGGGCTTCTCTCCTGTGTGGGTTCTTTGGTGCATTATGAGGTGTGGCTTCCGCCCAAAGGTCTTTCCACACTGTGGGCACCCATAGGGTCTCTCACCTGTGTGAGTTCTCTGATGTTTGATGAGCGTAGAGCTGTCGCTGAATTTTTTCTCACACCCACTGCATTGGTAGGGTTTCTCTCCTGTGTGTGTTCTGCGATGGGTGACAAGGTCTGAACTCTGTTTGAAGCCTTTCCCACACTCGATGCATTTATAAGGCCTCTCACCAGTATGGGTTCTTAGGTGTCTTATGAGATAGGAGCTCTGGTTAAAGCTTTTTCCACATTCTGCACACACAGGCTTCTTTCCTACATATCCATCCAGCAGCTTGTTTAAATCCTTCTCCTGTGGAAGCGGCTCCAGTTGGCCCTCTCCTGGTAGGGTTCCATGTTGTCCTTCTAATTCAAGGTCCCTCTCCCAGTTTCCTCCCCATCTAGAAGTATGAGAAATATCTTTATTGGCCCTTTCTGAGGATGTTCCACATTGTTCTGCTGTTTCTGAAACGTCCTGATTGAGTTTTGTCACCTGATTCTCAAAGTCTGAAAAATTAACAAAAGTAACAGGGAACGAAGTTACTCAGTTATCAGGAAAAAACATCAGAAGGCAGTAAGAAAGATTGAGATTAGCGCTTTGGCAACAGACTACACTTAATTTCACTTTGTGAAAAGTTTTTTTTTAATTGTATTTATTTATTTGACAGATACACAGCGAGAGAGGGAACACAAGCAGGGGGCGTGGGAGAGGGAGAAGCAGGCTTCCCGCCGAGCAGGGAGCCCCGATGGGGTGCTCGATCCCAGGACCCTGGGACCATAACCTGAGCTGAAGGCAGATGCTTAACAATTGAGCCACCCGGGCGCCCCAAGTTTTTTTTTTTTTAATTTTTAAAAAGGATTTTATTTTTAAATAATTTCTACACCCAGTGTGGGGCTCAAACTCACAACCCAGAGATCGAGTCGCTTGCTCCACTGAGTCAGCCAGGTGCCTCTCATTTTGTGAAAAGTTTATTGAAGTTCATTAAGCTTACAGAAAACTTAAATTCCTAAACCCTTTTTAAGATGAATCTTGGGGGATGCCTGGGTGGCTCAGTTGGTTAAGCATCTGCCTTCAGCTCAGGCCATGATCACAGGGTCCTGGATCAAGCCCTGCGTCAGCAAGGAGTCTGCTTCTCCCTCTCCCTCCCTGCCACTGGCTCATGCTCACTTGCTCTCTGTCAAATAAATAAATAAAATCTTAAAAAAAAAAAAAAGATGAATCTTGAGGGGTGCCTGGGTGGCTCAGTTGGTTAAGCATCTGCCTTCGGCTCGGGTCACGATCACAGGGTCCCAGGATCGAGCTACATTTGGGGCTCCACACTCAGCACGGAGTCTGCGTGAGGATTCTCTCTCTCTCTCTCCCCCTGCCCCTCCTCCCATTTGCACACACTTTCTCTCTCTCTAAAATAAATCTTTAAAAACAAACAAAAAACAATAAATGAAGACTTTAAGGGCACCTGGCTGGCTTAGTCGGTAGAGCATGTGACTCTTGATCTTGGGGTTATGAGTTCAAGCCCTACATTGGGCATATAAAGTTTACTTAAAAAAAAAAAATAAAATGAAGACTTGATTTGGTAAATTACTGATTGCCCAAGAAGTCAAATTTAAACTTCAAATAGTGAGAACAAAGTCTATGGCAGCATTCCAAAATCTTCATCTAAATAAGGGCTGAGGGTGCCTGGGTGGTTTTGACTCAGGTCATGATCCCAGGGTCCTGGGATCGAGCTCTGCATCAGGCTCCCTGCTCAGCGGGGAGTCTGCTTCCCCCTCACCCCTGCCCCTCCCCATCTCTCATGCTCACTCTCTCAAAATCTTAAAAAATCTTAAAAAAAAAAAAAAACAACCAAGGCTAAAATGCTAGATCTCCTCCCACTGGATAATATCCACATCTCACCTGTATGACTTTCCCTTAGGATCTTCCTTGCCTCAAAATTTTGGATTGGTAGCACTTCTTTCTGTTCCAGCTGGGAGATTACACTTGGTCTGGAAATCCTATAACAGGAAGGTGAATATAGGATATTAATCTGAGCCAACCATACAATGCCTGACCAAAAAGGCAAGCCCTCCTCCTTCCCTAAGTAGAGGAGAAAGTCCAGGGAGATGCTAAGCTAAGGTGTGTTTGGTCTCATTGAAAGGGCTGCCATGATGGAGTGATAAAACAGGGTGACCTCCCCAAGAGGCTAAGAAAATAGCCCCTTTCCTCCCATGAAAACAACAACAACAACAACAACAACAACAACAAAACAACCAGACTTGGGTGATAGAAACTCCAGAGTGAGCACAATAATTCATCTCTGAAGGCACAAGGCTAAACCCATGATTTTATCAGAAACAATGCCACCATGACCTCACCCTTAGAAAGAATCAGGGAAGTTAACTATAATGTTGGGCTTTAAACTTTTCCCAGAAGGGCAGCAGTAGATATAGCCAAGAGAAAAAGACAAACACTTGTAAAGGGGGGAAAAAAAAAGGGCAAAGGATATAAATAGGCAATTCACACACAGACACACACATACACGCAGTCTCTAAATATGTGAAAAACCTTTAACCTTACCATTAACCAAAGAAATTCAAATAAAAACAATGATACAGTTAGACAATGTAGTATGGAGGTAAAGAGTGCAAACTGCCTAAGTTTCAATCTTAACCCTTCCTCTTACTAGCTGTGTGACTTCAGGAAAGTGACTTAAAGTCTCTGTGTCTCAGGGTCTTCATCTGTAGACTAGGGATAATGATAAGACCTACCTCACAGTGTTGTTGTAAGGATTAAGTGGTAAGTCCCCAATAAATGTTAGCTGTCACTATTATTTAACCCAGACTCTTAAATTTTAATACCTACCATGATAGGTAAAATGTAAAGAAATGGACACTTTCATATAATGCTTGCAGGAATAAATAATTCAATCTTTTTGGAAGGCATTGGGCAAAAATATCAAATATCTTAGAAACGTATCTATTCTTTGATCTAGCAATTCTAATTCTGGGAATTCTAAGGAAATGAAAAAAAAGTAAAAAAAAAAAAAAAAAAGTTGTGGCACGCCTGGCTGGCTCAGTTGAAAGAGCATGTGACTCCTGATGTCAGGGTTGTGAGTCTGAGCCCCACGTTGGGGGTAGAGATTACAAAGAAAAATAAATAAAACTTAAAAAAAAGTTGTGCAAAAGGTATATTAGCTAATTACTAACTAATTATACTTTAATAAACAAGACCTAAAAAAGAAAGACAGTTAGCTAAGAGATGGTCATTACAATACTGGTGAAGATCTGGAAATGACCTAAATGTCCCATGACAAAGGAATAATCATATTTGATTGAGCCATATGAAATTGCCATTGTATAAGTTAAAAAATGGTTTAAAAATGGTCAAGTATATGATTCAATCTAATGTAAGTTATTATATTCCATTCAATAAATTACTAAGTGGTTATTTTAAGCAATGTATAGAAGACTACTGTTGTCAATATATATTCACAATACACTGTGTAAAAAAGTAAGATGCACAACTGAACATAGAAGTAAGATCCCAATTTTTTTCTTTTGTTTTTGTTAATGACATATATCCTTAGAACAATGGCTGGAAGGATAGTAACTCTTCAGTCGTGGGATGGAATCGGACTTTGCTTTTCATTTTGTTTCTCTTTTTCTTCAAGGGGCGTATATTACTTATGAAGTAAAGCAAGGAGAAGGGGTAGCCATTGTATTTTAGAAAGAGCACTGGAGGTTTGTTTTGTTTGTCTGTTTTTGAAGTGACAGGAAAAAACACAGCTCCCCCTTTGCCACAAAGACCTGGGCTGGACTCTTACTCTGCCACTTAACTTTGAGTCTTGGGGTCCTGACTGAAAGAGGTATAATACCCACATCAAAGGGTTATGGTGAGATATTAACAAGAAAATAAATATCAAAGATATCCCTGAGCTATAAAAAAAAAAGTGCCATAAAAATGAAAGTCATGCCAAAAAAAAAAAAAAGTGGAAGTTATTCTTTTTCTGCCAGGGAGGCAACAAATATTCTCACAGAGAGCTGGCGCTGTAAGAGACCAGTGTCCCTAGAGCCTGCTCAGACTTGGACCTTCTCACAATATCTAAGTCTAAAATCTAAAGGAGAGTAGCAGCCTTACCCTTTGAGAGCCCATTCTTCAAACTGTGCTGGGTGGTATCCTTGAATAGGATTTTCTAAGCGGTGTCCAGGTAACCCACTCTTCCCTGAAGTCCCCAGCCACATCATTGAGAGGCATCAGTTCCTAAAGCAAGAGACCTCAGTATGCATCAAAAGCTCTCTGGACATTCTAACCATTCTAACCATTGTCTCAAAACCAAAAGACAGTCCCAGTGGCCACCAGTATACCCAAAGAAAACCCCCCTGCCTAGAAGAGCCATGAGGTAAATTCTGTCAACCACCAAAGGGTTGCTTTTCTTGCTTTTCTTGTTCTGTTTTTACATCATCTTTCCCTTGGCCAACACTCACATCATGAAGTGAGGCCTGGAGCTCCCAAACACATCTACAGAACCCTCAGTCTTTGGAAAATTAACTTTTTGAGAAATAAATCGTTCATGATGGACAAGATAAACAAAGAAGAGAATGTGTGGGGATGACTTGATTTGTGAAAAGTTCTCCAGCTACATTTTCCTCAGCAAGCTAGGAAATTGTGGACTTCACTCTACTCGTGTTAGTTATGAGAACAGTTGACTTTTCCTGGCTTGTAGATTTGTTGGTGTCAACCTCAAGGAACAAGACCCTGGGTACCATTCTATTTCAAGGTTTAATGGAATCAGAAATGAGATTTAAAAAGACATGGATAAGCTGTAAAATAGAGTAAAATTTAATGAAGATAAGCACAAAACAAAACCCATGGGGCCCGAAAACAATCATTGACACATTGATAAAACTGACAGCAGTATCAAGAAAAAATTATTTGGGGGGCAATGGTCAGATTACTAGATGGATCAGTAATTTACTCAGTAATATGTTGTAAGGCATTAGGAGTCACAAAGAAATATAATGGGTTTTTTTTTTTGGTTTTGTTTTGGGGTCTTTTGTGTTTTTTGGGGGGTGGGGGTGGCTTAAAGAGTTTCCAAGAGAAACAAACACAAGTCCGCCAGCTGAACCTGCTACAGAAAATTCTGCATTTCAGTGGACGATGGACCAGACTGGAGTGAGGAAGCTTAGCTCTTTCCCCGTTTTTTGTCTCACCAATCAAAGCACCTGGGTACTACTAGAAGACACTCACACTTTTCATGGAAATATTTACGCATTTCCACAAAGTTGCTATTGGTCATTTATAAAGTACTGAATTTTTAAGGGCCTAAACACCGCCGGGATACGTTTCATCTCTGGATTTAAATGACGTCATTAGGAGGTAAGTTTGGAGCATAAATTTTATTTCTACATCCATCAGGAAACACAACTGCTGGGCCCACTTGCGGGAGGCAGCGGGACTGAGGGGGTTCACAGCCACGGTCACAGAAACCTTGTTTCTCACCCCGTCTCCTGCGCCCCACCCCCACCCCGACAGGTAACCCCCGCAGGCCCCAGAGCACAGAGGTGCTGACTAAGTGCCATCGTGAGCAGCACCAGTTTGTTCGCGGGGGTTATTAGTAGGGACATGGCGGCACCGGTGGGCCGACACCCGTCCCCCCGCCCTCCCCCGCCAGTGCGGGGGGCCCTGTCAGGGCGCCGCGGTCACAGGGTCACAGCGCTAAGCTGAAGCCCGGAGACCACCTCCGAGGAGCAGGAACATTGATCGAGGGGAGGGGCTCTCCCGACGACGGCACAGAAAGCCGCAGCCACCTGTCCCCACTCTTCAGCAAACCCCCGCGGGCTCCGAAAGGCGAGCGCGGGGACCTGGCAGGGACCACATCGCGGCGGCGGGCGAGTCCCCTCCACGCCCCTCAGCAGCTCCCAGGCTGTCTCCCAGCGGTCTCCTTGTCCGCGTCACTCACCGCCCCGGGCCCCGGCCGGGGATGGAGCAGGAAGTGAGAGTCCTCCACCGCCGAGCCGCACCCAGCCCACAACGCCGAGGCAGTCCCTCCCTGAACCCGACCGGGATTCGTGACAGGGCTGTGGGGACACAGGTGGGACTCTAGGCTCGACAGCCCGCAGCCGGAAAACACCGCCCCTGTCCCCTTACCATTGGCTCCTCATTTTCCGCGACCAGAAGCCTCGTCCGCTCATAGGCTGGTAGAGCTTTCAATCACCGCGCGGCCTTTTGGGATATGTAGTCTCGAACAAGACCGCAAAGGACTCGGAGTCCCGGGATACCCAGGTCCAAGCGGTGGCAAGTACTAAGCCCAGTTCTCCCTACGGCGGGGACTGCTTCTCTCGAGTTGACAGAGGGATCTGCAGACGCGAAACTCTTGGCCTCACCCGACTGCCGCGGAGCAGCCATGTACCAACGGCGGCGTCTCCCGCGCTCTGGCACGTCGCCCCCTGCCAAGCGCCGGGCGGCTCATCGCCGCCAGCTTGTGGATGCTCCTCTGCCAGGCCCCCCATCCCGGAGGGCCGGAGCCTGCGTGGTGTCTGCCGCCGGCCGGTTCCAGGGCAACTCAGGCTATGCATTAAGAAACTCCAGGCAGAGGCCGTTAGCAGAAAAACAGACGTTCCGCTCCCCTCCGTTAGCCTCACAATTCCACTGGTTAACACACCTGTTAATATAGCCCAAGGAGGCTGGCGAGGGTGTCACATAGTCTAGGAAATGTGTATTGGGTTCCAAACTGTGGCGGCTACGGGGTCTTATGTGAGAACTAGTGTTCACTTTGGGCCGGGTCCTACCTAAAAAATAATAGAAGTCTTTCTCTACAATGAAGAAAACGCACCTGTCTATCCTATTTGTTGATTCAATGCGAAGAAAAAGAAAAGAGGAAGAAGAGGAAGAAGAAGAAGAAGAACAACAACAACAACATTTTGTTCTTTTAGAATTACCAGTGCATGGCTAACGTGAAGACTCCCTCGATGCTAATTCAACCATTCCTTCAACGAACATATTCCAACATCTTCTAACAAATAGTTACTGGGAATGTTCTACGTTCCAGATTGTTCTGGGCACTGTGGTTACCCACAGGAATCACGTATGACCATTGCTTTCATGAAGCTCACAGGCCAACAGGGGAGAGAAACCATAGAAGATATTAAATACCAAATAATATTGTCTTCCCCCCCCCCATATAGCTAGTGCATCTCAATTATTTTTGCTATATCACTGTAGTCATCTGCAAGATAACCACAATAGTATTTGGGAGAATTCTGTCCACGATAAACAAATGTCTGGTTTTGCTTAGCAGATGTATTTTAGTTAGACGGAAACAGGGAAAACAAATCTCGTGGGAACCAGAAACAGCGAGGAACACCCTGCAAACCTAGGGAGTGCCAGGCCTCATATAACTAGAATATAGTTCAGGACCTGAACTGTAGAATCAAAGGAATCTCCAGGCCCCTCTGGGGTCTTTCTGGAATTCTGCCATCAGGAAGGTTCCATGGCTCTTCAATCAATCAGCAAGGAGTGTGGGGGGGGAGGGGAGTGAAGTCACTGAACCTGACTGCGGCCATCCCTTACCTCTCTCTCCCTGGCCTCTGGTCCTTCTGCCCCGGTCTTGTTCTCTCAGCATTGTATTCATCATAAGCACACGTGGGGGAAGAAGAAGGGGAGGAGAAGCTTGATCACATAATAAAAACAGCCAGTTAGAGAACATGAGGCCATGTACACCAGGTGGCCACTCAGGGAAGGCCCATGACCTATAAGGAGTCGGGTGCTTACAGGTGTGCCAGAGAGCAGGCAATGCAGGAGGAGAGGATGAAAAGAGAGAAAGATTTTTAGCAGGTGCTGTAACTGGATTTTTAAAAAAATTTTTTTTTTTTAAAGATTTTATTTATTTATTTGAGAGAGAGAGAATGAGAGATAGAGAGCACGAGAGGGAAGAGGGTCAGAGGGAGAAGCAGACTCCCCGCTGAGCAGGGAGCCTGATGCGGGACTCGATCCCGGGACTCCAGGATCATGACCTGAGCCGAAGGCAGTCGCTTAACCAACTGAGCCACCCAGGCACCCGGATTTTTAAAAATTTTTAAAATTTTTTTGTTTTTATTTTTTTGAGAGAGAGAGAGTAGGGGGGAGGGGCAGAGGGAGAGAGAGAGAGAATCTTTTTTTTTTTTTTAAGATCTGAGAGAGAGAACAAGTAGGAGGGGCAGAGGGAGAGGGAGAGAATCTCAAGCAGACTCCATGCTGAGCACGAGCCCCATGTGGGGCCCCATTCCATGACACCAAGATCATGACCTAAGCCAAAACCAAGAGTCGGATGCTTAACCAACTGTGCCACCCAGGTGCCCTAGAGAGAGAGAGAATCTTAAGCAGTTTCCACGCTCAGCGCAGAGCCCAACATGGGGTTCGATCTCACAACCCTGAGATCATGACCTGAGCTGAAATCAAAAGTCAGACACTTAACTGACCAAGCCACCCAGACGCCGCCAGACGCCGCGTGTAACTGGAATTTCTAAGGGAGTATATTATCTATGGCTGCATAACAAATTACCCCTCAAGCTTTGTGGTATAAAATGACAAACATTTATTACGGTTTCTATGGGTCAGGAATCTGAACATTAGTTGGGTGTCTCTAACTGAGTGTCTCGCATGAGATCCTGTTCCAGGTCTGGACTGGGGCTGCACTTATCCCAAGGCCTGACTGAGGCTGGAGGATGTGCTCCCAAGCTCACTCATGTGGCTGTCTCCTCACATACAGGCCTCTCCTCACAGCACGGCAGCTAGTTTCCCTAGAGTGAGAGAGCTGAGAGAAAGAAGCAGAAGCTTACCTAATCCCGGAAGTGATATCGCATCCCTTCTGTCATGTCCTCTTGGTCATGCAGACCAGCCCTGGTACAATATGGGACAAGGACTTGAATACTAGGAGGCACGGATCACTGGGCCACCTTGGAGACTGGCTGCCACAGGACTAAAGTGAACTTTAAGACATTTTCCTTGTGACATACTCTGTCAAACCCCTGTGACACCTCCTTCAGGAAACTTCTAGTAGAGAGATGTATGGGGGAGTGGGGGGTGGGCAGTCACAATGTACACAGTATGACACAGATGTTAAAAAAAAAAAGAAGGTTTTTTTTTGAAGTGTCTATAATTAAACTAAGATTCCTCAGGAGATTCTCATTCCTGGGCAGTTATTCAGCTTACCAGTTTAAAATAACATTTTGGGGGGGCGCCTGGGTGGCTCAGTTGGTTAAGCGACTGCCTTCGGCTCAGGTCATGATCCTGGAGTCCCGGGATCGAGTCCCGCGTCGGGCTCCCTGCTCAGCGGGGAGTCTGCTTCTCCCTCTGACCCAAACCCCTCTCATGCTCTCTCTCTCTCTCTCTCTCATTCTCTCAAATAAATAAATAAAATTAAAAAATAAAAAATAAATAAATAAATAAATAAAATAAAATAACATTTTGGGTTTAAAACAGTCAAATTTGGGTAAACCTTAGTCAATTTAAAGTTTAAACTCCCTATGAGAGCTGTCTATCTCCCCCAAGGGTCTCCCCTCCAGTTACCCTTTCCCAAGATGATATGGGGTTACAAGGGGAAGCACCGGGGAAAGGGGCCCCAGTTCTCAGCTGACCTTCTCCACTGGCTCCTGCTCATCCACTTGCGCTCACCTCACCTCACCAGATCTCCGTGTCAGCCTCTGGACTCATTTCATCTCCACTGACCCATTCACGCCTGGCGGCCTGTTCTCTCTGGTACCTGTTTGGGCTCCTGCCCTGACACCTTGGCCACAGGTCCTCAGCCATGTGGTGACCCTTTGGGAGGCTTCCTGGCTCTCAAATTCAGCTACTCCGATTACCTTCATCAGAAGCAACTGGAGACTTCTAGAACCCTCCATGCGATACAGCATAAGTCTTGGGGTGCTACCTCTGACCCTCTTTCTGCCCAATTCATCTATGGCTGCCATTTCTACCCTACTGTAACTACCACATGTTGACTTGGGGATGCTCTCTGGGTCAGTTTCCATTCACAGTTCAAATAAGAAACAGGCAGCAATTTCTTTTATGTTCAGTTTCCCTTTCAACCCCTCTGGGGTTCTTATCATTTTCCCACTTCTCCTCCCATTGGTGATAAATTTCCTGGCCTACTTTTAATGGCAGAAGGCTGCCTGGAAGCATCTCTACAAGGAACTGCGCTTGGCTATATGTAAAAGAAACCTGACTCCTGTGGTGTTGCCAAATTAGGAGCTGTTTTTCTCATGTATCAAGAAGTGTAGGGGCGCCTGGGTGGCTCAGTCGCTGAGTGTCTGCCTTCGGCTCGGGTCGTGATCTCTGGGTCCTGGGATCGAGCCCCACATCGGGCTCCCTGCTCGGCGAGAAGCCTGCTTCTCCCTCTCCCACTCCCCCTGCTTGTGTTCCCTCTCTTGCTGTGTCTCTCTCTGTCAAATAAATGAATAAAATCAAAAAAAAAAAAAAAGAAGTGTAGAAAGTAGGGCTGGGACAGCAACTCTGGGATGCCTTCAAGGACTCAGGCATCCTCTGTCTCCCTGCTCTGCCAACCTTAGTGGGTGCCTCTGGTCTGGACTTCTAGTCATCATGTCTGGGTTCCAGGATAGGATATTGTTCTGCCATTAAATGCTATCACCACTGAAATAACGTAGAACATGGAAAAATGAAAAATATAAAAAAAAAAAAAAACTCCATGCGGCAAAACAGGTGAAATATGATCCCATTTGTACGTAGTAGATATTTGTCATTTGTCCACCCACACGCTATCCTTCTACAAGAAATGGTACCTGATCTTTCTGGAGAAAACAGCATCCTGGTTCAGATGCGAGCTGGTGTCTTCTTACAGACCCTCCCTCTGTCACCGGGTGTGGTTTGGAAGTGGGTTCTGGACCCCGACCGAGCCGGTCACAGCACCGTGCCACCTGGCCATGACGATCTGTCAGAGAGTGTGCAGGCAACTCAAGCTGAGCCTGTCAGGGACCTGCCCTGGCACTTCTGAATCTGGAACCAAAGAACAAAGACCTTTTCCTGCCTACAGGTGAAGATGGGAAGAGGCGAGGCCGTGCCGATGGGCAGCCATGTTTCCTGCCACATGAACTGCAGCCTGAGAGAGTGAGTGGGTCACAGAGAGCCAGAAG